AAATCTATTTTTTTTTTGGGGGGGTTTTTCCTCTTTTTTTTCTTTTTTTTTTTTTTTTTTTTTTTTTTTTGCTAATTTGCCTTGAGGAGGGGTAACTTCCTGTGTTGTCTCTACAAATGGAGTGATCCCCCCCATCCCCCTCCACCACTCTTTCTCCCTCCCTCTCCCCGTCGTGCTGAGTGCTGTGGAAGAAGGCGGGTCAGTGTGGGAGAAATCCTGGGGCCCGTCGGCAGCACAGCGCTGAGTGAGCCGAGCGGAGCGATGCGCGTTCACTGAGCCGGAGGAGAGGAGAGAGGAGGACCGCTGCCCGTTTTTTTTTCTCCCCCTCAGCCCTCACTTCCACCGCGCCTCACTCTTACAATCACTGCCTAATCAAGAGCATCTGAACCTTTTTTTTTACTGGGGAAGAGGGGAATATATATATATATATATATATATATATATATATATAAGCGAATGGAATTCTGTTGTGGAAGAATCTGATTTTATTTATTTATTTATTTATTTATTTGTTTCGTTTTACACTCGGACTTCATCCGTCCGGAGTCGAAAGCGGTAAGAAAATTTTATTTTATTTTATTTTCTAATGGACACTCGTATTTCTTTTAAATAAAATTAAATGTCAGCGTAGATGTATTAAGCTGTGTTGTCAAATAGTGAAGTTTCCCCCCGCATATGGCATTTGGACTGAGTGCGGGGCTGAGATGCGGATTTAGGCGCAGTAAGAGAAAGCTTTGGGTCATAGTTTGATATCTACAGTTTCGCCTCCAAATACAGCTTGATTTGACTAGAAATCCTCTAACAGGAGTCGTTTCATGGTGAGTGGTAAGGAAAGCGATCGAGGCGGAAAGTTTCAGCTGACTGAATCGTTGCTGCTCTGACATGAATACATCAGAAATCGACTGGAGTTGATTTGGAAATGGGGTCCAGTGACTATAATCTCTTATTGGAATTTCGCATCTAAATTCACAGAGCTAAATCGTGCCTCCCGCAGTGTTTGGAGCGGCGGTCAGGCTGCCACCGTGCGAGGAGCCGAGGGAAAGCTGGTGGAAAAAAAATCTTCGTGATCGGTGCAGGGCTTCTGGGTTTTTTTTTGTCCTATTAAGTTTTTTTTTTTTTCCTTTGGCGCATTTTATTGGAATTTAAATGGTGCATCCTTTATCGGACAGGGGGGGAAAAACTGTATTTGCCTTGTTCCGGTGTTGGCTAATCCATCTAATTGGTTCTGAGCTTCCTGTAAAGGTAATGATGACCTCTTATCCATATTCATTCTCGACATTCATCCTTATTTACAGAGGTTAGACGATTTATCTAGCTCGAGACTCTACATTAGGTGCACGAGATCAAGAAGAGTTATGATTTTAACTATTTTGGGGGTGAAAAAAGACTATGCCTTTTAAAAAAATAAATAAAATTAAACAAACTGGGTAAAGCTTTCAAAAATCAGTCTGTTAAAAAATGCCATTCGCTATCCACCTTTCAGTGGGGCTGGTTGTCACAAATTGACAAGATGTATTTGGCGGTGCATCTTAATTGAATCGAAAAATATTACTTTGTTCGGACCAGATACTTTAAAGTTTCCATTAGACGTTGGAATGGGGTTGACTAAGTATTACTTGACATAGTATTATTATACTTGACATGGTATTATTTATTTATTTATTTATTTATTTATATTTCAATGAAAGGAAAATGAGTGACAACCAACACGGTTCTCACACGGTGCCAAAGTAAAGAAAATTGCGTTTCCCGTAACAAAATGAATATTTTACAATTCGCAAACTCTGAGAATTTCTGTTTTGGGAAATTTAAACTTGGAACGACGCAGTCTAGGCCACGTGTACCACGAGATCTCGCGATATCAAAGCAAAGCAAAGTCTGTCTCACATCCAGTTGCCATCAGTCTGGTAAATTAAGTAAGTTCCAAATATGAAGAAGGTTTTCTGTTGTGTCGTGCTTGAGACTTTTATTTTGATTGACGATAGGAAGTAGTTATTGAGTTTCCCTTCTGAGTGACCTAGTCAAATCATTACAACTAGATAATAGCATGAAAGAAGCCTAAACAGCATTTAAATGTGAACTGGCAAACCCTAAGTTTCTTACTTAACTATGGAATATTTAACTATTTTTGATTATGATGTAGTTGATCATTTCTTGTTGAAAACCTAGACAGCTACCTAAACTAATCAAACCAATCAGAATTAAAAGAAACATTGAAGCAAGAATATAAATTGATATAATCAGAAAAGTGTAAAAATGTCATAAATCGGTCAAATCTAGATGAAATTATTTTAAACTTATTGTTGGTTCTTTTAAAACACTTTATGGTTTGTGAGACATTTACGCAAGTCGTGAAAACAAATTAGGAATTTCAGTTTTGTGCAACATAATTCTAAAATCTTGTCTTGTTCTCGTGAATTCAATTTCTCTACCTCTTCTCATGACATGGACGTGTTATCATCACACGTCTTTTTGAACAATTATTTCATTTTCACTTCATTTGGAAGCTTTGTCGAAGATGCTAACATTAGCTTAGCAATTAGCTAATCATAGTACTCACAAAGTTCGTGTGAGTACTATGTACTAAAATAAAAGAAAATAATCTGTTCTTTTAACAATGCTTTTGTTCAGTCTTTTTTTCATTAAAAGAAAAGGGAAAACCCCAGATAAAGTGAACAAAACAAATAGATAAACAGGTAAAGTGGGACATGACTGTTAAAGAGTAACCCCCAAATAAAACGTTGCTCTTTTGTCTTATTTGTACCACGTATTTTTGATTTAGCAGGTCCAACACGTAACTATTAGCCTTTAGTTATGCTCCACTTTTATCATAGTGTTCTCTCTTGCTTTGTCCAACCAGTAGACCAACGGGTTCGGACCCGCTCCTAGTGTCGCACACTCGTGTCTGCTGTGACTGATGTCGGATTAAATCGTCGCTCCAGGCTGACGCTTGTGATAGACGGGAAGTTCAGTGAGAAACAGGGGGAAGTAGGAGCAGGCAGTGGGGGTGGTCTCCTTTGCGTCGGGGGAGACTCGACTGCATTACAAAACATGTCAATAAATCTGCTGCAGTTCCAATGCATCATTTATTGCCCGTGTGTGACAGTACCCATGCAGGTCATCTCATATCCTTGTGCTATTTAATAATTCAATGTGTATATCTAGGAAAATATGTTCTTATGCTAACAGAGTTGTGACAAACCGGCCCCCGTCATAGAGAATTGAGCATGACAAAAAGGACAGCAATGCCAGCGCACTGAGAAATGGAGCAAGGAGAAAGACGGAGAAGGGGACAAAATCACGTTTCTGTCTCATTGGGAATGCATTCCTCTTATTAAATTACATGAAAAAAAAAATTCTTCCAACAGCTAATTTCTGCCCTCTGCAGTGATGAGGTTAGCCAAAGGGCATCTTTCATAAAAACCCTGGAAGAGTGTCAGTAAAATATGTCATATTTAATTGGTGTGTAACCACATCAAGGCTTGTTTGTCTTAGCCTACAGGTTTGCCAACAGGCTTGCACTTTTTTTATTTATTTAGTTAAATTAAAAAGCCAGTTGCAAAATACCGTAGGTACAAGCATTAAATGGTTAGCTTTCAAAAAAAAAAATGTTGATATCCTTGAACTTCTCTACATTTTTTAATATTATGTTCACAAAGACTCAATGTATTTAATTTGGATCAATGAAAAGTAAAACATTGTTAGGAAGTGGAAGTTAAACAGTTCTTTTCAGTCATGTATTCATCTCCTTTACTCTGGTACTCTCAAATTCAATCCAAAGCAACCTATTGTTTTCAGAAATCAACAGTAATTAACCGCATTTCCATTGACCATATATATATATATATAGTTGCGTAAATTGAAATTACTAAAATAAACTAGCTTAGTAGAAAAAAGACAATTTTGAAAAAAGTTCTTCATGAAAAAGTTCTTGCCCTGGAATGAGGTGCTTTTTTCGGGTATATCAACATTTGGGTATTTCACACAAAACTTCAATGGGAAATACTTTTTTTCCATCACGAGTCACATGATCAACAACCAGATGTTACTACTGGCAGAAAAGAGGAAGAGGATGATGACAGGAAGTGATCAGAGGATGATGGCACATGATGCTTTTTAAATACTAACTTATTCACATTTGCATGGATATTTACACTACAATTGCAAAATTGTGTATTTTTAATGTTATCAACGTTTTTCTCTCATTTGTAATGGAAAGACAGTCGCTAAACTCCACATTTTTCTTGCACTCAGTTCAAATAGAACTACCCTAGCCTAAAGGTGAAAGAAATCCACAGGACCACAGCTTCCACCATGATGAAACATGGAAATGGCAGCTTCATGCTCTGGACAGTTGACAGATTCAACTCCAAAAGATTTACTGCCAAAGTTGCAACAAAATGTGGTTCTATACATTGACTAAAGGGGCTAAATACAAATTTGTATCAGATATTTCTAGAGTTTATTTTACAATTTCAAAACTCAAACTACTGGGGTTTCAAATGTAGAATTCAAATATTAAAGTTTGTTCATATAATGTGACAAAATATGAATAATTTTAGGGAGGGCAAATCTTCACAAGCAAATCTTCCGTGCTCAAGTTAAAAGAAGACAAATACCACACAATGGCAATGTAGGCGTTCTCCGTAAATCGATGGCGTTCAGGGATATCTGATAACCCAGTCAGGTATTACACACATTGAGTCATGTTGATTGAATAGAGGCTTGGCTTGTTGGTATACCAAACTGCCATCTCAGATATCATACGACTTTGCCTATTCAAGAGACCTAGCATCTAACCCTCCCATCCCATACCCACGTACTCCATCCAGGCCTTGTCCTTATACTGGGCCAGACTCACACGGCAGTGTTGAGGGTTATTTTTCCAAGCAGAACCTTTTAACCTCTCATCAAATCTCTTTTTAAGACAAAGACAATCATCCATTTAGGCAACCCGGTGTTGTCAGAGACAGAGCTGCACTAGGACACACACATGCGAGCACACATGCGGTGCATTAACATAGGTATCGGTTACCTGAATTCAATAGCTCGCCTGCTGCAGCAAGATTAACTATTCAGGGCAGGTGGTTAAAGGGCCTATTGTGTTTCCTGGTTCTGTGCTGCTGTCATGATTGGACAATGCATTTGTCTGGTTGGCAGCCCACTGCCAAAACAATTGCAAGGGCAAAGGGCTGGAAGAGTACACACACATATAAGGTTTCACCTTGTACATCATTTGTAGCTCTGGTGAGCAAAATTAAACAAAAGTGTATAAGAGGAGCTGCAGCAAGCGAAGATGGTTTCCTAGTTGATATGCTTTGACAGTCTTCCTCGGTGATAGAAACCATTTAGATATCTATTTACCAAGAGAACAAGTGGGATTCAAACATGAAATGTCCCCCCACCCACCCCGACCCATCCTTACATCTTTCTGGATCTGTGTTTGCAGCTGTAATCCCTCAAAGGCATGCAAATTGGAGAAATGGAGAGAGAAAGAGTGGCGGTGGATAATTAGTCATACTAATCAGAATCCCAGCAGCCCCTTGCAGATAGCAGCCTAACATTCGAAGGTGAACGAATGTTCGGCTTCGGCTCAGTGGGCTTTCCAGTGGTCAGGAAGTCAACAGCAGCGGTCTCCGAGATTAATTTGTTTGTTTGCATCACTCATGGATAAGTTAATCGAGAAATCGGATCTCGGCTCAAGCTGAAACCGCCAAGATGATTTTCAGTTGAAGAGAGCATTTGGAAGACATGGCACCTTGCGAGAAAAGCTCATGAGATCTTTATGGGTGTTATTAGTGGGTGTTTAGTTGCTTGTAGGGATCAAAACGTCAGATTTGCATTGGATGGGGTTTGAAGTATCTTGTCTGTCTAGCCCAAAGGGATGATTTTTGCTTCGATTCCGCTAAATGCGACTTTTATTATGACTATGTACTTTAGAGCTGAATCAAAACTCCCAGTATGCATTACAAATGATCTATGTGTTGCATAAATTAGACATCCATTCATCTGGGAATAGTCTGTTGCAAGATGATAGAGTTCTGCTCAAAGAAATGTATTAATACGCTATTTTTTCCCCCCACCAGGTCTGTCCAAGTTGTTTTTAAAGCTGACTACCAAATCATGGGGCGTGAAACTGGGCCAACACCGATTGTTACATGCTTCAAACCAGGAAGTCGGTTCAAAGGCCTAACCCTAGATCATCAGACGCAGCTCTGAATCACCGACATCATCATCGCACTTTCACCATTTTTTATACATATATCCCAACTTAGACTTGGCTGGACAAGATCAAGATTCAATCTGTTATCAACATTAGACCTTAAAGCAAAGAATCTTTAAGTAACCTATGTGGAATATAAGAGTCAGCAGGTAAACGCTGGAGCTAAACCGTAACCAAATGGTTCCATCACTTTGAGGATCTATCCCTAAATTCCAACCCTTCTTTTCGACACCCTTTGGTTTTTCTACGATGAATCCCAACAGCCTTCCTGGGCCTTTTTGTCTGCTACTAAGTACCCTGCTGAGCCTGAGCACAGGCTTGGAGTTTACTGGTTCTCAAGGCCAGTGGGCTCGCTACGTGCGCTGGGATGCCAGCTCCAGGGGTGACCTGACATTTCAGTTCAAGACCTCGCAATCGGACGGCCTGCTGCTCTACTTCGACGACGGCGGATACTGCGACTTCCTGCTGCTCGCCCTGTCCGAGGGCAAGCTCCAGCTCCACGTCAGCATCGACTGCGCCGAGACCACCATAACCTCGGACAAGCCGGTCAACGACAGCCGCTGGCACTTCGCCGCCATCAACAGGGAGAACCTGTGGACCGGCTTGGCCGTGGATGGTCAGAGCAAGACGGGCGAGGTGCGCCCCCAGCGGCAGTTCATGAAGATCGTCAGTGACCTCTTTCTCGGGGGGCTTCCGAGGGATATCCGCACGGCCGCCATCACCCTGCCCTCGGTCCGCGAGCTTCCGCCGTTCAAAGGGATTATCACCAACCTCAGTTACGGGAGTAAGTTGCCCTCGTTGGTCAATAGCCAGAAGGTTCGTCTGGAGATGATGGGCCTTTGCACGGAGAACCCCTGCGAGAACGGTGGGATCTGCTCGCTGGCAGATGGAGAAGTCTACTGTGACTGCTCCAAAACTGGATATGTAGGTCGATACTGCACGGAAGGTAAGAGGGCTGGCTTCGTTGTTTTCTGTGTCAAGCAATAAATATTGATTAAGGTCTTTGTGAAAAATTCAAAAGGGGTTTCTTTCAAATATAGAACTGACCTAATACAAGGTTTGTGTTTTTATTCCAGCTTCCAAGAGAGAGAGAGAAAAAATCTCATTATTCTATCTTTTTATCTTTTTTTTTTTTTTGCATATATTCTTAACCATCTCCCATAATGTGGCTTAGACCTCAAAGTATTTTTGCTACATCATAAATCTCAATAGAAGCTTCTGGAATTAGACGTAATCTCCATAACTGCATTGCCATTCACCTAATGTGATCTGTGCCACAACCACTCTTCATTTATAAAGTGCCTTGGAAAAAAAAAATAAACTGAAAAACAAAAAAATCTGCATTGTTTGCACTGATGCCTTCCCAAATCAGCATAATTTTTATCAAGCTAGAGCAGCTCTGCATTTGAAATATTTAATGCAGATCTTGCAGGACTTGGGAGTCTGAATATTTCTTTGTGGGCTGTTGCACATGCAGCCCAGCAACTCTCTGTATTTCACGTGGGAGTTAAATTGGAGGTGATGGGCTCAGCATTTCCTCTCCCTTCACAGTTATTACATTTGATGAGGCAGCGGTGGATACCCTATTAGCTGATGTGACTAAAATTACAACTCTAAGTTCCTTCTCCTGTTTTTTTTTTCTTCATTAAATGTATTCAGATTTGGCAAGGTGATGCGGAGGCCTCAAGGTACACACAAAGTGTGGATAAGAAACAACGTCACCTATTTTTGCTCTTCTTCTGGGCCAAGCCCATCTCTTCCTTGGGGAGTGTAATGAGATGCACCTCTTTGACAACATTTGATGATTTAGACATTAAAGCCTTCCTTCTTTCTTGCACATAATCTCAAATAGCCCACTGACAATATAATGCACATAAAGCTGCTTTCTCTTGTTTCATGACACCACTACTTCTGCATAAAGGTTACTTAATATTAGCTTAATCTTTCTGAACATGCTACTGCTGAAACTTTGAGAGGATAACCATCTGATTCAAGGAATAAGTTCCTTTATTATTTCTTTTTAAGTCATAACATTTGCATTTTCATACATGTAGAGCCTTTCAAAAATGTATTCGTACCCCTTGAACTTGTTCATGTTTTGTACATTTCTGCAAACTTTAGTGTATTTCACCTGGATTTTTATGTGATACACCAACACAAATAGGCATGTAAATGTGTTGCTTGCATTTGTATTTAGTCCCCTTTACTTTGATACCCCACAATTACAGTGAAATTGGGAATAATACAGTCCATCAGTGCATATTGTAATCTCAGCACAGTTTCAGCTGTTTTGTGAAGACGTTAAAGGTTTGTTAGAGAACACTCGAGAATAAATAGCACCACAAAGACCAGGTCAAAGGGTGAATTGTGAAGAAGTTTCCAGAAATGTTAGAATATAAAACGTATCCCAAATGCTGAACGTCTCTCAGTCGGTCAACCTTTGGATTCAACCCAGACACCCATGATAACACTCGAGTGGCTATTATAGAAGGATGAAAAACAAAAAGAAAGTCGTTTTTGAAACAAAGTCATAAGAAATGTAATTCGCCTTGGTTGAATGAGACCAAAGGGAATAAATGTCACGGCACATCACCCAACAGTGAAATATGGTGCACCATATTTCACTGTTGGGTGATGTGCCTTGGTGGCTCCATCTGTAGTTGAAGATATTCTAGAAACTACCAAGGAGTTAAGACTAGAGTGTCTCCTGCCAGCAGCACAACACCTCAAAAAAAATAAATAAATAAAATAAACCCACAGTTAAGATGGAATGGTTTAGATGAAGGTCCATCACATAAAATCCCTATAAAACTGAACATTAAAGTTTGTATGACGTGGCAAAACATGAACAAGGTTAAGGGTTATTTGTAAGTCTCCTTTAGAGCATCAGTCTACAGAAAACATTTTCACTTCAACTTTGCATCTTTCTTCACTTTTAAAGATTGTAGATTGTGTGAACAGACCATGTTGAGAACCCCCCACTGCTGACCCACTTCCTGTGTCTGAATCAGACTGACATGGTTCAGAGATGACTCCACTTTGGCAAAAAAAAAAAAGAAAAAAAAAAGAGGAATGCTCACTGAACACTTGTGCCGATTCCAAGCTATTTCGAACTGTATCCAATACGGGGAAGACGTTCAAATTTGCTATTTCTCTTAATGGTTTCTGCGATGTTTGGCTTCCTAATATGTTCCAACGTTTGCTGCTAAAAATGAAGCTGTTCTGAGCTTAAATCTCCAGCGCACGCCTGTGGCATTGTTCAGGACAGCACACGATGTGCTGGTTGCAGAGCAGCCAAGCGAACTGAGTGGACTTGACCTCTTTTTCGCTTCATCCCATTTGCTCACTGTCGGAGCTGAAGAGTCAATAGAGAAGTAGGTAGGTGGTCCATTTGTCTGAGAGCTGATGGGGGGAACCGTGACATCTTTGTGTAAAAACAACCCAGGTTTTTAAGAGGACACTTGCGACTCAGGCCAAATAATAGCTTAGACGGACACAGAGGGGGGAGAAAAGGTTGTCATTTCGCCGCCTTAGAGCAGAGGAAGTGTGACGAGTAAATTCAGCGACAGTGCCTTGTAACCTAATTTGTCCCAGGAGGTCAGCCGTTGCGCTCCGGTTTGCCTCCTTCTCCGTCATCTGTTTTGAAATCTTCTTCCATTTTGCTCCAGCTTCAATGGGAAAACGATTGAGATGGGGAGAGGGGGAGGGAGGGAGTGTGCACACGCTTCATCCAACTGCTGCTCTTCCCTGCTTCGCCATTAACTGATGTGGCTGATTGTTGATTATGCCGCGGAGACGCGGAACTATAATTAGAGAGATAATGAGAACAGAGACGGCCAATTTGCCTGGAAAATGGCTGCGCAAACACCACCGTCAATTTCGGGCTGTCTGTTGGCAAATAAGCTGCAGTTCTTTTATTATCATGGCCACATGTCTTCAAGTGGCAAAGCACTTGTTGTTCGAGCGATGCTTGACTGAATGGAGCATTTTTGGAGGGCAATTTAGTAGCGACTGCGTTCCAACCATTTGGTCGCAGCAACATATGACCGACTGCTTAGCACACCTGTCTGTGTCAGTAGACTGAAGACTGAATAACGAGCGATGCGTGCAATCTGTCAAACCTGTGAATATTTACGTGTTGCATTATCATGCAGTGTGGTCCTGCGCTCAAACACGCCGACGTTCAGTGGCGTACGTGCAATCACATGCATTAACGCGGACGAGGCCCTCTAGCCACTCGTTAAAGCGGGCAGATGGTTTACTGACTGAGCAGGCTGGGCCTTAAAAGCATTTCGCCAGCCGTGCTCCTAATAGTAGCCCACTGGCCTGGCAGAGGAATGAGAGAGAGGGGGGTGAGCTGAATTACCATCTGAGATGAAACATGAGAAAATTGGAGGATTAAAAAAGGGAAGCGGGGTGAAGCCTGTTGGTGCTGCTCGGCTTGAGAAACGTTATGTGTTTGAGACCAACGGATTGGTTCGCTTTATGGTCGTTAAAAATGTTCCCATGAAGAAAGATAAGATATTTTCCCCCAAACTAGTCGACATGGTCACAGAACACCTATTATTTATTTATTTATTTATTTATTTATTTATTTTTTTAGTGTTTCTTCCAGTTGGGTCAGGATGTCTCTCCTTAAGTGATTATCGTCTGTCATTGATTTACAATGTTTGACAGACAAATTCACCATTTTTTCAGTGTTTTGCTTCTCAAATTAACTTTTCACCTTTTGTCATGCTGCACTCTTAAAACGGAGGGGAGGTAATATATAAAATCAACTTTTTTAAAACTGTAAATCATGTTATAATGTTGCTCATTTATCAAAAACATACCTGGGGTGTTGCTTTGATATTTTTCATGGATGTTTGAGGAATCGTTTAATCTCTCATGGCAACCAGTTGGCAGAGCCTCAGCGGTTGCTCCCTCAAAGCGCCGCCAATTTCCACAAAAGATGTGCTGAAGATGGAGGGTCGGAAAGAGTAGGGGCTTCTTAAAGAGACAGAGGCCCAATTTAAAGCTGTTGAATTACAAAGTCATATTTATTATTTTTAAGATATACAGAATTTTTATAACAACTAAAAGTAACATGCTTTGAAAATAGATAGTACCCTCTCTTTAAACTTCTGTATATCTTATTATAAACCAGTACAAAACAATGGATAATTATGAGTGGAAAGAAATAGAAATCTTTCTCCTATAGTGTAGCAAGTATAACAGCATTGGTAAAAAATAGCAACACGAACTGCTATGTAATGTTTGACACAATATAGCAGAGCTTTAACTAGTTATTATTTACCACTAACCATGTGAACTAGGTGGATGAACTGCCATATTGTATCGATAGAGAGGTACAAACGACAACCTCTCTGCCATAAACATCATTAATAGGGTTGACATTAAAGTAAAATGTAATTTTCACTGTGACCTAAAATAAAAAAATAACAATAGTTCAATACCAGTCTGCCACGATGTTGGTTGAACAGCAAACCTGGAGAAATGCTCTCTGGTCAGAAGAGACCAAAGTCGAACATTTTGGCTAATATCAAAAAAAAAAAAAAACAGTATGGATGAAAACTAAAACAATAAAATTCCTGTGGATACACCTTCCACACTGTTAAACATGGCAACATAATGCTGA